GGTCACTGGTTTCCTGATTATAAAGCTGGTCTAAACTTGTTTCAATGTGCCTGCCAACAGCGGTAGACTTTAATTTTTCAAAGCTAAACCATTCCTAAATTCTATTTACCCATAGTGGTGGCCACCAGTCCCAAATTGTGGAAACCACATACAAATCATCCATGGTGTCCTTTAAAAATGCCGATTCCTGGATTTATTAGAAATGGAGCTTAAAATTTTTCATTTAAAGAAAAACTCTTGAAGATGATTCATTTATATCCTAACATTTCAGAACTAGACATGAGTGAAAGCTGTTAGAGATGTTACCCAGAGAATGGTCAATATAACAATATTAGATGATTCTAGAATCATCACAAATTCTCTTTATGCGGAGGTTGCTCAATATCCATGTTCCCTTCTCTCTTTTGGTACTCTCATTCCAGAATTTTAAGTAGCCTTCCTTGCTACAAGGTGTGGGCATGTGACTCATTTCTGGTCAATGACATGTGAACAAAATGACTTGTGAACAAAAATAGATGTATGCTATTTCTGGGTTATGTCCTTAAAAGAAAGGGATTGGCTTGCCAGTCCTCTCTTCCTCCTTGTCACTAGCTAGTCTATGGACAGAGTAGGGGTGAGCCCTCTGTGACCATGTGGAAAAGCGCAACACTAGTGACCTGCAAAGCGGCAGGAGTCATGAGTTCAGGTATCGAATAATCTTGCCTACTTTCCGCCAGCGCAGGTTCTTAAGCTAGAGAAATAAACTGTTATTTTGTTTAAATTATTGTTACTTTGTTCTTTGCTAAATAACTAAAAAAATGTCTAACTCTGCAAAAAGATATTGGACATTCAGAAAAGTCAGGCAAGTTGCTTTTTAATGTCTCTATTCCTAAGGCTGTTCCTTTTCTTAACACATTCACTTCACATAGTTGAAGATATGAGCCTCTCTGCTATTTCGTGCAATAAGGTGTTCCATTTGAAGAGCCTGAAGTTTTGGTCAAAGGAACACTCCAACATACAAGCATATGAAGGAGGTGGCATAGAGAATCCAGTTTGTATGATGGGGTTTACATTTGGCCCCACATTTTCAGGGTGGGTACGTTTGAGATCACTGGTAGGAATGGAAGTCAAGGGACTGGTCTTAGTAATTTTTGGTTTTTCCTGAGAACTTGACACACAATAAGCACTCAAAACGACCTACTGATTTACCCTCCGCAAAAGACCCCAGTACAGCATGAGTTGCTGACATAATGAAGTTTGTAGGGTTATACATAGGGAATGCACACTGACTCTGGGATTATTTCTTTAAAAGGGAGACAGGAGAATGTACATTACTAAGCAGGTGGAATTGGTAATTGCTGGGTTCCTTTCAGCTCTAACACTTCACGGCTCTCTCTCCCTTTCCTAAAATTTATTGCTGATTCTCTACTACCTTAATGATAAACTATGCGAACAAAAATTCCACACCCTCCCTAAATGCGTCTCTCATTGCTCTCTTCTCAGCTTTCTCTCTCTACACTTGCCCCCAATTCTCCCTGCATTCTCCTGACCTTACATTCTACTCCACCTGTTCCCTCTGCTTGGGGACATATCTACCTATCAAATTCCCATCCACTCTGCATGAGTGAATGCCCTTCAGTGTTATGTGAATACACATATCCCCTGATGGCAGGGGAAGTAAACAGCTCTGACAGTTCCTGGACGTCATTCTAATAGATTTTGAATGATGATGTCTCACTGAAGAGACTCCATGCAGCACGACTCCAAGTCAGGAACCAGAGCATTGAAGATGCCTACTGATCAAGAAAGGGTCATCCCCACTTTCTGACCTCTAATGTCTCTTCCAAGGGGACTAGATCAGCTGATTCTCCAGAACAGTCCTTTCCTGCTTCCATTTGGGAAGTGTTATGGGCACAGGATCACCAAAATACCTTCTAAGCGCTTCTCATCATCCCCACCTCGTCTGGGCACCACCCATGCCTCCCCAACCACTACTCTTTTAGTCTGAGCCTCCATCAGCTCCCATCTGAACTTATCAACCTTCCCATGATTCCTCTTCTTCCACTGAAATCTGCCCACCCAAGTCTACACAAAAGAAGCACAGTGATTTCAAACCCACCAGTGGTGTCCCATTGCACTGATTATGATTCTAATGGCATCTCTCTTGATCTAGCTTCTGCCCATCGCTCTGACTTCATCTTGTACTATCCTCCCCAACTGCTCTACTCCATCTCTGCTGGCCTGGTCCTCAGAATCTCAAGCCCCCCCTGTTTCACAGTCTTCTGTGACTTGCACTATCTTCTGCACAACACATACCCCTTTCAGCTTGGTGTGGCTGGTCACCTCTCATCAAACAGGTCTCAACTCAAAAGTGAACTTGTAGAGTGAACGTCTCTGGTCCCCTCTTGCTGGTGTTCCCTTCTCTCACCATATCAAACCATTTCCTTCAGATCACTTCACATTATTTGAAGTTATTGTAATTGAGCACATCATTAGATATCATTAAATTGTTGTTAAATGAATGAGTTTCACATAGTGTTTAAGAACTCAACCAGGAGCCAATCTTCCTGAGCAAGTCTTGGCCTCTACATTTGACATCATGGGTCTGTGGACAAATTACTTATCCTTTTTGTGACAGTTTCCTCAGTTTCTTTATCTATAAAATGAGTATCCTAATAGCACCTGCTGTCAGGGTGAAGATTAGATACATTAATACATGCAATTAGAGAGGAAAAATGCTTATATGGAGCATCATAGGCACTGAGAAAAGTCAGTTTACGACTTAAAGAATTACATTTAAATTCCTAACTAGGATTAGAACTGAAAAGCATTATGGTAATAACATAGGTTTAACAAATGCTTAAGGTTTTAGGTGGGACCAGAACACTTATGAATCCTTTGATGCCAAATTTTTAGACCCCTGGATTGTTAAGGAAAATTGTGTAAGGGTCTAAGTTTTTCTTTATTAATCCATTCATTTATAAATAAAATTTTATAGAATTATTATACGTCATGGTCTGTAGCAGGTTATAAAAATGGATGGATTGCCCATAAGCTTGAGAACATATATAAACAAGCATTTACACTATGGTGAGCAACAAAAGCTCTGTATCCAGAATGATGGGAGCACTGAGCAGGGAACGTGGAGGAAGAAGAATCTACCCCAACTCTTCCTGGGTTGGGGGCAGGTGGCCAGAAGAGATCTGTGGTCCTTGCAAGGCAAGCTCTAGCCTATTTGGGGAGCACCTGTGGGCTCCCCATCATGGGAGACAATAACATGCTGTGAACATGCAGTCGCTTCTTGACTGTATAACCAAGGAAAGAATGCAGAGTCATTTGCTCTCCCCAGCAGCATGTGAATAAATATGCCACACATATGTATTTACACAAATGCAGAATTATAGGCCTGCTCCAGAGGGGGGAGGATCCGAGTGTTGAAACCTGATGGCATATCAACCATTTCCTGAGGGATGTTGTCTGTCAGTCTGTTTGTGCTGGCTGCTTGAAAATCACATGTGGCTTTCAGATGGAGGAAAGGAAAAGTATTTGCATATAAAAATGGGAACATTTTCAGGATAATGCTTGACAAAAGCCATTTGAGCGATTATACAATATTTCTGGGCCAATCTTTGGGCACAAGTTTCTGGAAGGAGCTTCTGAAGAGTGTCTTCTTGGTTTCTCTCTTTCTTCTCTGGCCATGGTTCTCTTTCAGATAACGGGTTCATTCTTGCTGAGACCTTCAACACCCCCATTCCTGCCAACCCCACCCCATTTCTCTATTGCAGGGAGATGATAAAGGTGTGACATATATTTTCACTGTTTTCCCTTCAATCGGTATCAAATCTTACTACAGTAAAAATGAATGGGAACCAAAATTCTGATGAGATTCATGTCATGAATTAAAAGATCCGAAGTTGATTTTTTAAATGGGGCAGGGGGAGGTCTATGAAAAGGGCACTAAAGAAGCATGAGGTGACCTATCCTAATCAAAAAAGTAAATAAAGCTTCAGAATAGGAAATGATATAGCACTTTAGCTGAGTGTATTACTTTTAGAGTCCTCTAGACCTAGATAGGAAGGCTGCCCCCACTTACTAATTGTTTTACCTTAGTGAAAGAGCCTGCTGGGGCTTCTCAACATCCCTCTTCTCCTCTTCCTGGGCACGTGGCCAGTCAACATTTCCCAGCCTCCTTTGCATTATGTGTGGTCACGTGATTGGATTCTAGCCAATTATCACCTCCACCCTCATCCATGGCCAGACTAAATTGGAATGTCACATGAGATAAAAAGGAAGTTTTCATGGATTAGGCAGCAGAAATTTTAAGGTTGCTATAGCCACTAGTCTACTCTTATAGAGTTGAAGAAGAAGATTCCTAAACTTTGCTTTAGTTTCCTAGGTAGAGTGGGGCTAACATACTTACTTTATGTAGTTGTTATGAGAACCCTCAGGGGGGTGCCTTTCTTTTCTTCTTCCAGTTACTTTCTTCTTTTTTCATGTATTTATATTTATCCTCATCATAGCAAAAAAAATTCTAGTTCTCATTCTCTGATGTCCACTCTGCTTGCTAGCTGGATAAAAATTGTAGGAAAAGTAAAGCAACCCAAGAAATGGACCATTGCTAGGAAGGAGTGACAAACTGCTGTGTGTCCTTAATTCAGTGTAAGAGATAGTCTGGGGCTCTGTGAGGCTGGTCTCTGAGCAGAGCCACATTAAACAAAAACACAAGGAGCACTCTAAAAACTTTGAAGGTTAATATGTATTGTAACTAATTTTCTCAAAGGGGATGACACATGCGTTTTACACTTTCTCAGAGTTTCGGAGAAATGCTTTCTAGACATCGGATTCTCATGATGTCTCAAATCTCATGATAACTACTAAAAACCTCTTCTGTGCTCTCATCTATTTGGTTTCCTTTCAATCTAAGTCATTAATTAATGTCTTTGCTCTTTCCTCCCTTTCGCTGCTATCTCCTTGCTGAAGGACAGTGATGACATGTCTGGCTCTACCCATTGGCCAAATACCTTGCCACGAGTCTGAGGTCCTGTCTTCTATGTCATGTGGGAAGGTACATCTGGAAGGTGTGGATTTAATTTCCTCCAACAGCTTATCTTGTAAATCAGTCTCATGGAACATTTTCTGAGATTTGATCTAATGCTTCATATGACCTAAGAAAGGAAAAATCAGAATGGGGACATTCATATATTTATTCTGACAATAGGCACTCAGGATGAGGTCTCTACAGTCAAAGTCAAGCCAAGAACTCATTCCAGGGCAAGGAAGGATGAATGGGGCTTGCCTGAGAGGCCTGGGTGAACAATGTTAATCCTTGACCTCTCTGAAGGGGTGGGCAGGGCTGGCCAGGTGGGAAAGAGTAGTGTAGTCCAGATATGCTCTGGTTTAAGTCAGACAGGGCCGGGGGGGGGGGGGGGGGGGAAGGGTAATCTCTCTTGTTAGTAACAGCTCTTTCTTCTGGCTTCCCATGTTCCCTGAAACAGCTAAGGTTAAGACGTTATGGAAATGCTATTTTTATCTGTTAGAGGAAAAGATAATAATATTTATCTTCAAACTAACTTCAGGCATATTTATTCAGCCACCAGAGGAGATGGGGACCCTAGGTGAGTAACCTTAGTTGCAAAGGGGATTAATGAACAATACTTGGTCCCAATGGAGATGGCAGGCAGAAGCAACCCAATGTCCTGTGTTTTTTTATTCTGCTGGACTTGTGGTTGTTAAGAATTGTGAAGGGTCTGAGATTCTACCCTACTTGCAAGCTGTCATGAGACTCCTGATTTCTGACTGAGAGACAAGTGACTTTATTACTCATGGCACAGCGGCAACTTACATGTTATGTTGCACTGGCCTCCCTTGTCCCCAGGTCCCATGGAACAATGCCTATGCTGTGGGTCTAAGTTATATCCGTGGAACCCTGAGCTTAGAAAATTCTAATCTTCCCTCACGATCTGTGAGCAAACCTTGTTTGCATTTGGTTGTGGAGGGAGATATTATCTTTATTATACTGGACAGCAAACAAATGTATCCTCTTCTCAGCAGAGACGTACTAGGTCTACTCCTTCGGGGTGTTCACTCTAGAGACATCCTTGAAAAGATAGATTAGAACAAAAAGTGGTCAGTGTCTCTGCTCACCAGCTGTGTAGAATTAAGAGAATTCTTTCCCAACAATGGTGGTTGTGTGAACAGGAAGCAAGGCATATGGAGGAGTCTACCAGGGTCCAAATCCAGCCCCATCATTATTATTTAGCAGCTTGCAGGAAGTTGCTTAAACTCTCTGGAGTTCAGTTTCCTCATCTGTGAAATAGGGAAGATATTACTTATCCTATAGAGATGCTATAAAAATGTAATAAGAGAGCCTGTAAATGATAGCTATGATTATATATCATTTAATCATAATGGATATCATTATACATTGCACAGGTAATGTATAACATTATATCCTAAATTTTACAATATAATGCTATATATTACTTTATTTTGCACTTTTTATTAATTTAGATCATATTTTTGTTTTGGGTAACAAATCTAGTTCGCTCTGTGTTGATATTTACTTGTGTTTAGACAGCACTATACATAGCCCTGGACAAGAAGACAGGGTCCCTTGGTTCCAAGTCTGCCACAAACCAGCTGGGTAGTGTTAGCAAGTCATTGAAACTAATTAGTCAAAGGAGGAGATTAGATAGAAATTCAAGGAGAGTAAAAAGTTTGTCTCAGAACCAGTCCCAAGCAATGGATAGTGAATGCCCAGAGGGTTGGATTAATAAAAATTTTGAGCCCATATCTAGGCAGAGCTGGAAAGTATGCCCATGGGGAGCTAATCATGTCTTTGGGGTGTAGACCTGAGCAGGGCTGGGGTGTAAAGAGCTGAAGGAGGTAGAAATGTGGTAGGACCCTTGCCATTGCTTTGCATACAACAGGTGCTAAGTTAATGCCTGTTCATTCATTAATTGATGAATTGAGTAATGTTGTTTCCAGAATTCAGAGTCAAGGATGGAAAAATGTGGAGGACATGAATCGATGGGCAGGGGAGGGGGATGGCACAGAACCAGTTTATGATTTCACTTTGGAATGAAGGGAGACCTACTTTTAGTTAGGCCACGACCTCTAAGACAGGTTAAATACTTCTGGAAATCCCCATCTGTTATCAGGCTGTATGTGGAGCCCAGGTGGCCTTTTTTCAAGTGACCTGGTGTTTTGCTGCCTCTGGTTTCTCCTGGGCTCCAAATTACTGCTATGAAGCAGCTGCTCAAACACTTTAATGGCCACAATTAAACCGTCCCAGAGGCTGACCTTTAGACATGGCAGTGGTTAATTGAGCCAAGTGCCCTGGGGTCTGCCATCTTTGGCAAAGCCTTGCAAGAGTCCAGTGTGGCTTGATCTTTTGTTTGGTTTCCCCACACATGTTCTAAGGGGAAATCTTATTTCCAGTCACACTAGTAGAAACGCCCAAAACCTGGAGATGAGACAAGACTGCTGAAGGAATTCCAACGTCTTTATAAGAGAAAGGTCTTGTAAATGGCAAGTTTGAAGGTCTCTAAAATTGTCTGGATTTATTAAATCCTTTAACAAGTAGAGCCAAGCTTTGCTGCGAAAAGACAGAGAATTAGTGACGTTATTCAATTAACATTCAATTAACATTAAATGAGTGACCAATAGATAGCAGGGAATGCTTCAGATATGGGGAGATGGCCTTGGAAAATAAGCTAAAAGGTAGGTTCATGGGAGCAGAGACTGGGGTTCCTGACTGGATTAGTTTGGTAGTGTATGACTCTTGATCTCAGTATTGTTAGTTCAAGCCTCATGTAGGCATAGAGTCTACTTTAAAAAAAGAAAAGAAAATAAAAAAGAGCAGAGACTGCTTTTGTTTGGTTCATGACATTTCCCAAATGCCTAGAATGCTGCCTGTACATAACAGATGTTCATTTAATATTTTTTGAATAAAGGAGTAGACAAAAACTCTACCCTTATTGAGCTCACAATCTAATAAGTACACAAAGATGTTCATCTTTTTAAAATTTTTTATTTGTTTCTGAGAAAGAGAGAGAGAGAAAGAGAGAGCGTGAGCATGGGAGGGTCAGAGAGAGAAAGATGTTCATCTTTTGTGATGAGTCCATAAAGCAAAGAAATGTGATATGGAAAGAAGGAAAGAAATGGAAAAAAGATGGGCTGGGGAGATAATGAGTACTTTGGTTAGAGAGATTCAGGAGGGTCTCACACACAACAAGGAGCCATCTTCTCATGAGAAGACTGTAGGGTGGAAAGGAGACTTCCAAGCAGACAATGGCAACAGGCAAAGGCCCCATGTAGGGAAATGCTGGAGTGTTGAAGAAACAGAGGGGAGAATTTGAGGAGAGCCTACTAGTGAGGTGGAGAGTAGTAAGAGGTTAAGTCTGAGTGGTATGCAGGAGCCCAGGTATAAAATCATGTTAGTAAAATATTGTTTATACTCAATGTTTAATTTTCCCAAGGCTGTCAACAAATTATCAAACTAGATGGTTAAAAAAATCCAGATACCTATTTTCTCACAGTGCTAGAGGCTAAAAGTCTGAAATCAAGGTATTGATAGGGTTAATTCCTTCTGGAAGCTCTGGAGGAAAATCCATTTCACTAGTTTCTGGTGGCTTTTGGTAATCCTTGGTGTTCCTTGGTCTGTACATACATTACATTCATCTCTGCCTCTGTTTTCACAAAATATTCTCTGGGTATCTTCTCTTCTCCCTACCTCTTCTCTTCTTCCAGGACACTCATCATTGGATTTGTGGCCCATTTGGATAATCTAGGGAGATCTCATCTCAAGATCCTTAATTTTATATTTGCAAAGGTCCTTCTTCCAAATAAGTCCCAAATCACAGATTCCCAGTGGACATATTCAGTGGAGGGGCACCATTCAATTTATTATACTTTATTTGCACTGAAAAGCCATTGGAAAGTGTCATGCAGAGGAATGACAAAAAGATTTATACTTTTCTGGATGAGGAGTAGACTAGAGTAGAGCAAAGTTGGAGGATCTTAGCAGTGAAAGATGATGTTTGGAGATTATCTCATCTGTGTAGGAGAAGGTGTAGATAGAAAGTCTGAGTTAGGACTGGGGCCAGGGTGTTAGTGTCAAGGCAATGTGAGAGTAGTTTCTGGGTTGAAATGGAGTCAGTGGCATCCAGGTAGCATCTCAGTCCCAAGTACAAGCTCACATAGATGTCAGGTCTTTGGCTGGAAATCAACCAGGCATTTTCCTTTTTATACTTTTCATTGCCCCACTCTTGGCCACTGCAGGCCTCATTTTCCTCTGGGCAAGGTTGCACCATACATTCAAAATTTTCTGCCTTTATGCTCTATAATCAGGGCTCTGTTCTCTCCTAACTAGAATTCACATAAATCTCAATGCTCCACTACAAACGGCCCTGAAACTCTAACATCCTTGCACCATGTTGCCTTGTAGGGTCTCGATATGCTCTGCCTGTCTGTTATGGGTTGAGATTGCTATAGGCAGGAAAAAAGACCCCATCCTCCCACATTTTTTCCTAACCAAAAATGAGATCTTGGCCAGGAGTTCTTCCTTTCCCTCTATGGAAACATGTCTAATAACATGCCTAGATAACTTCCTTTGGAAGGGGCAGGAGTGGGAAAACCCAAACCCAATAGTGTGGACGAACAACACATGCCCTCCAAAATTTGCAAGATTTTCACAAAGGCATGAGAGCAAATGTAGGATTTATGACTGGGAACTAAATGTGAAACTGAAATATTTTCTTTTGAAAGTCTAAAGTGTGAAAGTGTTAGCGTAAGGCTATTGAGAATTCTATTTGTTATTCTACCTGTCTCACTAATGAAAGAAAAAGCAACTTTTTGAGGTGCAGCAAGAGTTTGAGTGCTCTGGAGATATATAGACCTTTCCTAAAAATGCAAGTTTGCCTGTTTGCAGATTCCCTACATTGTGCAGGGGATCCTCAAATGATGGGTGTTTCTGTTTTAAGTCTTTTTCAGTTGTAAGTGACAGAAAAAGCTAACTCAAATTTCCCTAGCCAAATAGGAAATTTAATGGGTGATGTAACTGTAAAGCTGAAGTAGTCCAAGACCCCAGGCACTTAAACACTGTGTCTGGAATCCAATTTCTTTCTGTTAGTTTCACTCTATGCTGACATCAGACTTAGAGAGCTCCCACCTCATGGTGGCAGTAAGGATGCCAGACCTCTAACTTCACAGTCAGCAATGCCGTTGCTTCTGATTAATTCATTCTTGATCCATGACCTCTGTCTGGTGGGAAACAGGGCTGATTGGCTAGGTTTGAGTCACATGACCTCCCCTGGACCTGTGCGGTAGTCAGCAAGATGGAAATTGAATAGTCTTAGTGGGGAAGGAGTGAATTCTCAGAAGGCAATCAGGGTGATGTTACCAAAAAAGAGAGAAATGAACAAGGTGAAACAAAATAGCATAAACAGCAGCAGGCAAATGTGCCTTCACTAGCCATGTGACCTTGGGCAAATTGTTTAGTCCTTGTTCCTATTTCCTTATCTTTAAACTGGGGATAATGATATAAGTACTTTCTTCATAAAATAAGATTGAGTTGGTACATGTGACACACATAAAACAGTGCCTGGTCGCATCTGTTTTAGCCTTATTATTTATTTCCTTATAGTGGGAACGTTGTCTCTACTGAGCTTCATGAAGACAGAAGTCAAGCTATTTTACTGAGCAGAAGTGAGCCACAAAATTATGGTAAGCACCCATAACTAGAGAACAAGCAGAAATCTCAAAAGGGAGATGCAACGTATCCTGGGTCCTCCCACTTACCACCACCTCCACTGCTGCCCCTTGGTCCAAAGCACATAATCACTCAAGTGAACTTCTGAAGCATCCTCTCCTCTGATATCTTGGCCCTGCTTTTGACCTCTCAC